CGATGGTGGGGCGTACCTGGTACAGCACGGCGATGGTGGGGCGTACCTGGTAGAGCACGGCGATGGTGGGGCGTTCACAGGCGTACAGGAACTTGATGTCGATCACCTGCAGCTCCTCCAGCCTGGCGTGTGAGGGGTGTCACAACGAGCACAAGCAGCGGCTAGGGAAAGGGTGAGAAGGAGAGATTTACAAGAATACTCAAAGGCTTTCACAGCCGTGCAGAAACTTCATGTCGATCGCGTGCCTGCAGCTCCTCCAGCCTGGTGTGTGGAAGGTGTGGCGAAACACAACAAGCGACAAGGGGAAGAGTGGGACGATTTTAGATTCGCAGCTTGCAATAATGAGGCGACAAGTGAAGCTGGCTGGACGCTCTGATAGCTAGTTTCCAGTTCTTGGCTGGTCGGCTCTTTGGTTATGACTTGCTGGTCCGATTGTTTCAAAGGGAACGCAGTACCAATTAGCCAAGTGAGGCCGCAGTCATGCGAGAACTAGTGCCATGGGAGGTGAGAAGAGAAGCTGTCGCTGACTGCACGCACAGTGAGAAGGGCGTCCTTCAGACTGGCGTCCTTCAGACTGGCGTCCTTCGGCGTCCTTCGGACTGGCGTCCTTCGGACTGGCGTCCTTCGGACTGGCGTCCTTCAGACTGGCGTCCTTCAGACTGGCGTCCTTCAGACTGGCGTCCTTCAGACTGGCGTCCTTCAGACTGGCGTCCTTCAGACTGGCGTCCTTCAGACTGGCGTCCTTCAGACTGGCGTCCTTCAGACTGGCGTCCTTCAGACTGGCGTCCTTCAGACTGGCGTCCTTCAGACTGGCGTCCTTCAGACTGGCGTCCTTCAGACTGGCGTCCTTCAGACTGGCGTCCTTCAGACTGGCGTCCTTCAGACTGGCGTCCTTCAGACTGGCGTCCTTCAGACTGGCGTCCTTCAGACTGGCGTCCTTCAGACTGGCGTCCGTGCAAATGGCCTCCAAAAGCCCATGAACGCCTCGGCCTCTGAGCTCGGCCCATCTCTTAAGTAACGTGCGAGTCGAGTCAGCAGACTCAACGGCGAAACCTGAACCAACCGAATGTGAAGGCTTGGCTAGATTGCCCCCGTAAACTTTGAGAGGGCGGGATTACCTCAAGGAGCCTGTCGAGTTGATGCGTGTCATCACATGAGCACCGCCGACCTCTCATTAGGTTGATGGGGTTGAAGAGCCCATCGAAGTGCCAAGCGGCAAGTACCGCCCGCCTGGGTGGGTGGAAGCACAAACAAGCAGCGAAAGCAAGCCACCCGGGGCGCGGGGCCACAGGCGGGCACCCACCGGATGTTGAAGGCCTCCTTGAGGTGGCCCTTGGCGTCGATGGGAATGACCTTGAAGAGCCCGTCGTACAGATGCAGCCCGATGATGCGGTAGTCCGGGTCCACTATGCCGATCTGCATGCCACACCGACCCAGTAAGCGTTGCGTTGTCGAGGGGGTGGGGAATGGGCGCAGGCAGGGATGAAAGACACGGCAAGCAATGGGTGAGTCAGGTCACATGCAGCCTGATGATGCGATAGTCCGGATCCACTATGCCGATCTGCACCGCACCGCATGGCGAGTGAGGGGGAGAGAGGGGGAGAACAAGGCAGGCATTGGGTGAGTCAGGTCCGATGCAGCCCAATGATCGGGATTCGGGTCCACTATGCCAATCCGCACCGCACCGCACCGCGCAGAGTGGCGAGGGAGGTGGGAGGTGGGGGGTGGGGGAAGAGGAAAAGAACAAAGCAAGCAAAGAGTGAGTCAGGTGAGATGCCGTGCCGCCACATGATGTGATGTGGGTATCCGGGTCCACTATGCCAACCTGCAGGGTGATGACACGGAAAGTGTGTTGGGGAGGTGGAGGGCAGGCGGTGGGGTGGAGGGCGAGGGGGCGAAAAGATCTTGTGGGGCAGTTGAGCTTAGATGCAAGCGGGCACGATGATATGGAAGCCAGGCAGGCCAGGGTCTTCCATGCCACTCTGCTGCACCGCAAATGGGATGGGGGGGAAGTCTGGGAAGCAAGGAGCCGATGAGGGGTGGTGCGCAAGTCAGTCACGTCGCGGATTACCCATGAGAGATTTGAGATTGACAAGTCTCGGAACCACCATGTGATTCGCACGACACACAGACCGGTGAGGACGGAAGCAGGAGGGAGTGGAGAGGAGGGACAAGGGATGGGGGAGTCGAGGGAGAGATGGTAAGAAAGGTAGTTTCGGGTGGGCTTAGAGGGACGCACTTGAGAGGAGTTGGAAGCAAATCGTTGCGCATTGGCTTCGCGGTGTGAGTGAAGCAATGAATGAGTAGTGCAGGGCGGCAAGGGGTGCGTGAAATTGCAGAGGGAGAGTGACAGACTGATGGCAAGACCTGAAAGCTAGCAAGGAAGGAAGGAAGGAAGGAAGGAACCTACCTGGCCATTGTCTGTTGGTCGCCCGATTCGATCAGAGACGTCCCCATTGGCCCTGGTGGGTTCACTCAGAGTGACAGAGGCAGGCGCGAGAGCAAGAGGCAGGAAGAAATCAAAGTCGGGAAAAAGCAAGCAGAGGAAACGGCAAGACCATTACTAGGTGGCTGGCAGCTTGCGAGGAAGGTGGCGCTCGCTTGCAGGTAGGTAAATGACGCACATACTTAGCAAGGTGCATGGCATACCTGGTGATGAGCTCCCTGGAGAGGGCGTCATACTCGAGCACACAGAACTTGTACCGCTCCGTGCATATGAACAGCAGGTCCTTCAACTCGCCCTGCCATGCCATGCCATACCATGTGCCATTCCATACCATACCATGAGCGATGCCAGGTGCAACGCCATGTGATGCCATGCCATGTCATGTGATGCCATGTCAAACCTCATGATATTGCGCTTTGCTATGTAAGAATACTTCACACTTACCCCGCATTTCCCTCCCCAACAACTTCACTTATTCCCTTCATCCCCCATCTTTTGCTCACTCCCTCCCTCTTTTACTCCTGCCCTTTCTATTCCCATCCGTCCCTCTGCTCAACTTCCTGAGTCCTCTCCTCTTCCTCGCTTTTCCTCCTCCTTTCGTTGTCCCCCTCTCTCCCTCGATTTTCCTCCTCCGTCTCTCCTTTAATTCCTCATCTCTGCTTTCCTTCCTTCCTCCCTCTTAACTGACACGCGAACGCAAACACACGCACACGCGCACACACACAACCCGCACACCACACTGAAGCTGCCAGCACAATGACATGGGTGCAGTGCGGTGCAGGAGCAGAGCGGCGGGGCACGTACGGGCGGTCGGAAGAGCTCCATGGTGGCGATGCGGCCGTACAGCGGCACGTCCACTAGCGGCTGCGAGCATGCCATGCCCGCACACATGCAGTTGCAGAGAGACGCACACACGCACACGCATGCACACGCACGCACAGACACACGCACGCACAGGGATGGTGGGGAGTCGGCATGAGAACCGAACCAGGTAAAGCAGTCAAACGATCAGATGCAGTAGCATGTGTGGCCCGTGGCCCGTGGGTGTGTGTGCAAGGTGATCGGCTGAGTGAGACAGTAACAAGACTTTAACTTGCAAGAGACGACAACAATGAAATTCAAAGTGAAAAGAAACAGGAGTTTTGTCAAACAGATGCGAGGAGAGAAGAGCACCTGAAGGCCCTGTGGGGTGAGAAGGTAAATCTCCATCCTCGTGGACTTGCTGCACAATGGGATTCAGCCAGTGGAATCCACCCGCACACGAATTAGCATGCAGCACAGTCTAGCAGAGAGCAGCAGCAAATGCACCCAGTGCAAGCCATGCCCACGCGCATGAAACAGAGCAAAGAGAGTGAGAGAGAGTCGCAGTGGATGCTGAAAGGCAGAAGCCTCAGGCTGGAATCAGCCGCATGGGCCCCATGATCCCGAGAAAGGCCTGAAACGATCAGATTCGCATCCCAGACGTGCTCCGTTGGCTCAGTTTGAACCGCACCGCACGGATGCTTTGCTCCACACACAAGGCTAATGGGGACGGACGGCTGATGGGGACGGACGGGCACGGCATGCATGTGCAGACGATGCTCACCCAACAATTAGGTTCATGTCGTGGGTCCCTGTGAAGCTGCCGACCAATGAGTGCGTGACAGCTGTCGGCTTATGCGCCGTGACGACATAGTTCCAGATCGACATGTTGGACGGCGAATCCGGGTGAAGCGCTTCGGATAGTGACGTAGCGGACTATCGCAGAGCCAACCGTAGCGAAATGGACTGTAACGGAGCGAATTGTAACGCAGCGGAGCCAGCCGAAGCAGTTTATAACGCGCAATTCTCTGATAGGAAGCTCTAAGCCGGCAATAGCCTCCGGCTACCAACTAACGTGTTCTCCAGGTTTTCCCGACTCCAACGATGGCCCTGTTCAAGTTCGTTAGTAGGGTACATAGTCATAGCGCGATCAATCGTCCTCGAGATTGTTATGTAACGCGGTTAGCATAGATGATAATGCAACCCTCGTGGGTTTAATGCGGTGACTCCAGAACCACTTTCACCCCAGTGCTTCACCCCGTTTCCACTTTGTTGAAGGGTAGGTCACAGGCAACTACCATACTGTACAGTACACCCATTTTTTCCCGCGCGCCTTTTCCTCAATGCTACAGTAGATAGAGGCGGGGGTTCATCGCAAGGGGATTGTCACAGCAGTATCTTTCTCGCATTTCATCCATCTAAACTCTGCATGCCTGAAGCTGAGGGTTTTCTGCTGCTCTGAAAATTCTATCAGTACTATTAGTCTTCGAGCGCTTTCATTACTCCCCTCGCGTGGGCTGGCGGGTGGGCTGGCTCCCGCCCCTCGCGTGCCCCGCCACGCGACAGCGGGAAAGAAAATCCCTCCGAGGAAAACCCGCAGGGGCAAAGTGGGTTTCGCGGAGGGATTCGGGCGAGGGAATCCCATCTAAACTCTGCATGCCTGAAGCTGAGGGTTTTCTGCTGCTCTGAAAATTCTATCAGTACTATTAGTCTTCGAGCGCTTTCATTACTCCCATCTTATCAATTAGTTGGAATGGCTGCCGCATCATCGATCGGACGGCTGTCAGACGATCTTCTCTCCGTTATCCTCCATTTCGTCGGTCCATCCGACGGTCAGTTCCAGCACGCGCTTGTGTGCAAGAAATGGCATCGCATCGCCCGTAGCGTGCACGAGCACATCCATCTTCGCAAAGAGCGTCGCATGCGTCCATGCGAGTTGCTCGCGCACCTCTCGTCATTCCCAGGGCTTCGAAAGCTCGTCCTCGCCAAAGGCAGCATCATGTCCGTCCCTGACTCCCTCCTATCGGGGATTGCAGACACGTGTCCAGATCCTCCACGTCGATAAGATGGCACGAAGCTACAGAGAAGGAGGGTTCACTGAGAACGGGCTTTCGTATCTCCTAGAGAAGTGTACACGGCTGGAGGGACTTCGTCTTGATTGTCAGTCGAATCTGACCGCCATTCCCTCATCAATCGGCGGCCTTGCGTCACTCAAGAGCCTGCACATCACCGACAGGGGGACAATCGCCCTCCTTCCAGACGCGTTCACCTCGTTACAGGCACTCGCGCATCTCGTGATTGAAATGCACGGCCTGGATAAACTGCCTCAGAACTTCGCGCAACTTTCCATCAGTGGCTCCACAAGGCTTCAGCTGCCCGAGTCCATCTCCAACCTTACATCGCTGCTGACCCTCGAAATTTCCCCTTTCGCCGCTGCCCGAGAGGTTTGGGAACCTGCCGGCACTTGAAACCCTACATCTGGAGGATGTGTGGGGGATCACAGATCTGCCCGCGAGTCTTGGGCAGCTGACTTCTCTAACGGACCTTATTCTTGCCGGCCTAACACTCCACCATCTGCCTCACGACGTCGCTCTCCTTCCACGCCTACGCACGCTCAAGCTAGACGTTGGAATTGCCGCGCAGCTGCATCCCTCCGTATACCTCGCCACCACAGTCAAAGAGCTCACGATTGCTAATTCTGAAACTCTACATTCTCTGCCCGAGGAATTCGGTCAGCTTACTGCCCTCGAGGTCCTGCGCTTGGTTGAGCTTCCGCGGCTCAGCAGCCTGCCCGCGTCGATTGGCAACCTGACGAGCCTCAAGGAGCTGATAATCGCCACATGCAGCCTGCTGACGCAGCTTCCAGACTCGCTGACTCTGCTTTCTTCCCTGGAGCTGCTGGAAATCAATTATTGCTGCAAGCTGACGGTGCTACCGCAGGGCATGGGGGATGGCCTGCATAGCCTGCGCAGGCTGATTCTGCTCGCATGCAAGGCTCTCACCCACCTCCCTCCATCCTTCTCCAGCCTCTCCGCCCTCGAAACCCTAAACATCTGTCATGCACCCAGCTTACGAGGCGCGCTACCAGGCGGGTTCTCCCACTTGACAAGCCTCAAGGACCTCTCTCTCTCCTCCCTGCCGCACCTGCCCGCCCTGCCCGCCTCCCTCCCTGCCATCGGCCGCACTCTCACCAGCCTCGTGGTCATCAGTTGCACGCGAATCAAGGCTCTGCCAGAGGAAATTGGACGGCTGGGATCGCTTGAAACACTCCAGCTCTTCCAACTGCACAATCTGAAGTCGCTCCCTCGCTCACTGTGGCAGCTGGAGCGGTTGAAGTCTCTGGAACTGAGTTACTGCAGCACGCTGGAGTTGCTGCTTGGGGATGGAGACTCGGGGAATGCACACGCGGGAGCTGCCGGGCACGAGGCTGGGGGAAGAATTACCGGTCACACCAGTAGCAGCAGTGCCGCTGGCAGCTGTGGGGGATCCGAGGAGTGTGACAAGCGACTGCTGCTTCCATCCCTTGAGCACCTCAAGATTGAGAAGCTTCCAGTGCAGCTGCTGGGTCCATCGCTGGGCTCCCTCCTGTCACTAACCAAGCTGGAAATCCGGCACGTGGGCCGGCTCCGCTCGCTGCCAGATTCCATCTCTCGCCTCTCTCGCTTGCAATCACTAGAGATCAATTATGCTGAAAACCTGCTTGCTCTGCCAGAGACAATAGGGCAGCTCTCAGCTCTCACATCCCTCCAACTTAGCCATCTCCTGAGCTTGACTGCTCTTCCAGAGTCGATAGGGCAGCTCTCAGCACTCACATCCCTCCACCTTGACGGTCTCATGCGTTTGACTGCTCTGCCTGAGTCATTCGGGCAGCTGAAAAAGCTTCAGTCGTTTGAGATTCGAAACAGCCTGGGCCTAACCAGGCTTCCCGCGTCCTTACCTGATCTCTGCAGACTGGAGTCGTGTCGTTTGTCCGATGTCGGGATTTCGTGCCTTTCAGATGACTTCTGGAAGCTCTCTGCTTTGAAAGAATTCTCCCTGGTGTCACTGCCTAAACTCCGCAACCTGCCCGAATCTTTTTCGCAGCTGCCCGGACTGGAGGAATTGAGCCTGGTACGGTGCATGCTGCTGGCCCGGTTACCCTCGGGCCTGCAGCAGATGGGGAAGCTGCTGGCCTGCGTTGTCAGTAACTGCCCGCTGCTGTCGGAAGGGATGGTGGTGATAAAGGGTAGAGTGAACCTGGACGAGGGAGAGCGTGCAGTGGGTGGCGCGGAGGACGAGGATGAGGAGGAGGAAGAGGGTGGGGAGGAGGAGGAGCAAGAGAATGAGGAGGAAGATGACGGGGAGGAGGAGGAAGAGGCGGAGGGGGAGGAAGAGGGATGAGGAGGAGGAAGAGGAGGAGGATGAGGAGGAAGTGGGGACAGCGGAGGAGGATGAGGGAGTGAACGGGAATGCGGTGAAAGGGAGGGAGGAGAGGGGAATGAAGGGGAGGGGGGAGAAGGGGAAGGGAGTGAAGGGTAGGAAAGCAGAGAAAAGACAGAGGATGGTGATCTATAGTACAGCGAACATGGACAAGGGAGAGCATGCTGTGGGTGGCTCAGAGGAAGAAGATGAAGGGGAAGTGGGGATGGGGGAGGCGGATGAGGGGAGCAAAGGGGAGGAATGAGGGGATTAATGGCGAGGGTCATGAATGGGAGGAGGGAGAGGAGCGAAGGCAATGGGTGTGAGGGGTTGGGAGTGGGAAATGGGGGGAGGAGTGGGATGGAGACGAGGAGGACGAAGAAGGCAAGGATGGGGAGGTGAGAGATGGGAAGGAGATGGAATTGAAGGATTCGGAGGATGGATGCAAGGTGGCTAGCTTTTAGTATCATTACAACCATGTGAACTTAATGAAGCGGTGCTGCAGCTCTGTTGGCGGAGGAGCACGCCCTGCACTTAAGCTTTAGACCATAGTTTGGGTTGCGAATACTACATAGAAACGTGCATGGTAGTTCGTCTTAAAACCCGGGTACAGCATGGTAATTTTCAAGTTCAAGATTCTTGAACTTGAAATCGCAAAAAACAGGGTTACCCTACTTGTTTTGAAGAAACTCTCGCGACCCCAGGCAATCGTCCTGCGACAACGGAACCCGAGTGCCCAAAAACAGAACTGACGCGATGATCGCCAACCATATGCACTGTTCGCGACTTGCTTACCAAGTCGTACTCATAGACTAGGAGGCTCCAAGGCAAAAACTAGCGCTATTTAGGCAAAAGCGAGTCATTGATAGGGTTTTTTCTTGTGCGCTAAAAATTATGGTAGGTTTCCACCAACCAACTTAGTCAGTGCACGCTCCGATCTCCCCCTCACGTCGCCGGTCTCGTGTTACAACCCGTTCACCCGCGGCACTTACATTAGTGAACGATCGTCGCGTTACTCGCGCCTTGCATTCAAGCTCGCGTCGCACATGCAGGCTCTTGTCACACTTGCTGCGGTTCAGCCTCGCGTCACGATCGTACCGTCTTAGGCGCGGGTTGCTCACGTAAATGCCGTACAGGTTCGCGTGACGTACGCTGCCGTTAGTCGCGTATGTTCCCCCTCGTCGGCCGCTCTTTCCCACGTCATACCGCTTTCCCCGTCACCCGCGCTTCTCCTCATCACTTCCCCAAGTCGCCAAAGCTTCTTCTCATCTCTCTCTCTTCTCCTCAACGTCCTCGTTTCCCTCGTCGCCATAACGCCTCCGCTTCTCCCCGCCGCCCTCGCTTCCCCACGTACGCGCCTCCATCTCCCCCACATACCACCCGCCTTCCTCCTCAGACGCCACCCTCGTTCCCCTCCACAGAACGCCTTCAGGGGGAGGGACAGAGGGGGAAGGACAAAGGGGGATGGCCCTCGCCTCGCGCGCTTCCCCTCGTCACACTCTATTCCCCTCGTCATACGCGCTTCCCCTCGTCACACTCTATTCCCCTCGTCATACGCGCTTCCCCTCGTCACACGCTATTCCCCTCGTCACACGCTATTCCCCTCGTCATACGCGCTTCCCCTCGTCACACGCTATTCCCCTCGTCATACGCGCTTCCCCTCGTCACACGCTATTCCCCTCGTCATACGCGCTTCCCCTCGTCACACGCTATTCCCCTCGTCACACGCTATTCCCCTTGTCATGCGCTCTTCCCCTCTCGTCATGTGCTCTATCTCTCTTCCTTTAAACCTCTCTCTCTCCCTTTCTTCCTCCCATCCACACTAGTTGCTTCCAAACCGCCCCCCACCCTCATCCCTCCTGAGGGGAATGGGAGACACAGAGGGGTTAGGACAGAAGGGTAAGCGGATGTTTTTTTCCCTCACGAGCTTCCCCTCGTCGCCCTCACTTCCTTCAAATTGTTGTCCCCCCTCTGTTTTTCCCAACCTCCCGTTCTCCCACCAGCCCTGTTTACCCTCTGCCCTGCTTCCCCGCACCCTCTGCCCTGCTTCCCCGCACCCTCTGCCCTGCTTCCCCCTTTGCCCTGCTTCCCTCAACCCTCTGCCCTGGGCCCCCCCACCCTCTGCCCTGCTTCCCCCCATCCCCTTCCCTGCTTCCCCCCATCCCCTGCCCTGCTTCCCCCCATCCCCTTCCCTGCTTCCCCCCATCCCCTTCTCTGCTTCCTCCCATCCCCTTCCCTGCTTTCCCCCATCCCCTTCCCTGCTTCCCCCCATCCCCTTCCCTGCTTCCCCCCATCCCCTTCCCTGCTTCCCCCCATCCCGCTCCCTGATTCCCCCCATCCCCTTCCCTGCTTCCCCCCATCCCCTGCCCTGCTTCCCCCCATCCCCCTCCCTGCTTCCCCCCATCCCCTTCCCTGCTTCCCCCCATCCCCTTCCCTGCTTCCCCCCATCCCCTTCCCTGCTTCCCCCCATCCCCTTCCCTGCTTCCCCCCATCCCACTCCCTGCTTCCCCCCATCCCCTTCCCTGCTTCCCCCCATCCCCTTCCCTGCTTCCCCCCATCCCCTTCCCTGCTTCCCCCCATCCCACTCCCTGCTTCCCCCCATCCCCTTCCCTGCTTCCCCCCATCCCCTTCCCTGCTTCCCCCCATCCCCTTCCCTGCTTCCCCCCATCCCACTCCCTGCTTCCCCCCATCCCCTTCCCTGCTTCCCCCCATCCCCTTCCCTGCTTCCCCCCATCCCCTTCCCTGCTTCCCCCCATCCCACTCCCTGCTTCCCCCCATCCCCTTCCCTGCTTCCCCCCATCCCCTTCCCTGCTTCCCCACGGTGCGTAGCAACACACACGCGCATGCATAAGTTCTTCGATGACTGGATCCCCTGGCACAAGTGATGAGCGTCTCTCTCTCACTCTGCCGCCGCAATGCTGCCCCCCCTTGTGCCTGCCGCCTGCTGTCCACGCCTTCCATCCCACCTCTCCCAAACCACGTCTTTTTTTTTAATGTGCCCGATCCCTCTGGCTCTTCCACTCACTCTACTCTCTCCCCATTCCTCCCCCTTTGCTCCCCCTCTTCCTCGCGGCAGGCCACCGAAGCACCGCATCCAGCAGATCTTCGAGTGGATCTGCCCTGAGGCGAGCTGGCGGAGTTGTGAGGCAGCCTCCTCTCGAAACTGCCTTCAGCCTCCCCTGCTGCCCAGCAGGATGCCGCGGAGCATTGATGCGGGAGGGGGCAGACCATGCTGGCAGAAATGACGGCAGCGCACGTCAGGTCATTCTCAAGAGTGGTTAGCAACGGAATGCTTGGAATAGAAACGAATGGGGTACAAATAAGCAACCCTAGAAACTGTACCCCCTAGAGTGCAACTCACTACAGCCTATCATATCAATGTTCAACATTTGACACACCCCCATAGGCTAAGTGAGGGGCATCAAAGCAAGCAAGGTGAACAAACGGTCACAAGACCAGTCAAAGCAAGAACCAAGACAAGCTCAGGGTGGATCTCAAGGACACCACACAAATTCCGAGCGCAAGCAAGCGGCCACAAGGCCAGTTCAAGAGTTCACTAGGATATAAATACAAGGCACAACAAGCAGAGCAAGCAACAGGACTACAGCAACCGAGGGCCTACCTCAACTAGCCCCAACTGCACACAGAACCTGTGGTGGTCACCAAGCGCCAAGGCCTTGGTGAAGACGTCTGCAGTGTTGGCCTCTGAGGCCACAAAGTCCAGGCGTGCCTGGCCGCGTCGCTGCAGCTCTCGCAGGAGGAAGTACCTCACGTCAATATGCTTCACTCTGCTCTCCAGTCGAGGCTCTCGACACAGGAGGATCATGGCCTTGTTGTCAGCGTACAAGGTCGGTGCAGAGCGAGGCCGCTCACCAAGGTCGGCGAGCAAGAAGGTCAACCAGCGAAGCTCCTGTGCCGCCATGGCACCCGCGTAGATCTCTGCCTCTGCACTGGAAGTAGCCACAGACGACGACCGTGTAGACCTCCACGACACAGCACCAGCTCCCAGACTGAAGCAGTAACCCTGAGTCGAGCGCTGAGTCTCCACGTCGTCAGCGTAGGAAGAGTCACAGTGACCAGTCAACGCCACTGGCCGAGTCCCTCCAAGCACAAGCCCCATGCCTGATGTAGTCGCCAGGTACTTCGCCACCCTCACAGCAGCTGTCCAGTGGACAGGGCGGTGTCTCCCAGTCGCAACAAAGCGAGAAAGGATGCTGAGGGGAAAGGCGAGGTCCGGTCGAGTACAAGTCATCAGGTACATGAGGCAGCCCACCAGCTCTGCGTAGGGTCCACTGGACTCAAAGGGCTCGTCAGGAAAGGGGCCCGTGAGTCTGTGGTCAACAGCAAGAGGAGTGGGCTGAGTGGTGGAGAACTGGAAGTCGAACCGCCGAAGGACCTGCTGCACCATGTGTGACTGCGTCAGTGTGATGGTGCGAGCGGCTCTGTCCCGGGTGATCTGCAAGCCAAGGTAACGCTGCAGCTCACCCAGGTCAGTGCACGTGTGTCTCTTCTGCAGTTCGGACTTCACTTGAGCCAGGGCTGCCCTGTCTGCTGTAGCAAACACCAAGTCGTCGACGTAGACAAGGATAAAGAAAGGAGTAGAACCCGCTCGAACAAATAGCGACGGGTCGGCGGAGGAAGGGCTGAACCCAAGGTCACGAAGCGTGGAGCGAAGATTGTCGTGCCACTCACGGGGCGACTGGCGAAGACCGTAGACTGGTCGCCTCAGGCTCCACTGGGTCCCAGGTGGGAAGGTGTCAGTGAAGCCAGGAGGACGGCGCAGCCAGATCTCCTCGTGCAGTCGGCCCTGGAGGAACGCAGTGGAGAAGTCGAGGGAGTGCAGCTCGTAGTCTCGCTGCGCTGCTATGTGGAGTAACACCCGAAGAGTAGTCATCTTCGGGGTCGGGGCGAAGGTCTGGAAGAAGTCAACTCCCTCACGCTGACTGAAGCCCCTAGCCACGTAGCGCGCCTTGAACACCGGCGGTGCTCCAGGCGGCCGCTTCACCTTGAAGAGCCACATGCCATCGACTACGTTCGCCCTGGGAGGGGGAACTGCGTCGACGTAGGTGCCTGTGGATCTCCAAGACGCCAACTCTGAGTCCATAGCCGCTTTCCACTGAGAGGCCCACGCCCCTGACATTGCCTTGCGGTAAGTGCGAGGAGTCGGTATGTCAAAGGCGTCGGGGTCTCCCTCAGGGGAGAGCAGCATGGCACACACAGAGGGAGAAGCGGCTGCCCAGTACTCCAGCTCAGACTCTCTGTCCTCTAGGACGTCACAGCCAAGGGCAAACCCACCCCCGACGGACAGAGGACGGTAGGGAGGAGCTGGCACCACACGGGTGGCGTAGTCAAGGCGGCTGGCGGCAGCAAACTCAGCGACAGCGGCAGTAAGAGCAGAGACCGACGACGGAGGGAAACGAGAGTCGGTGACAAGAGTGGCGAGGACACGTGCGGCAACAGGACGAACAGTGCGGTAGTAGTCAGTGATAGGAGTGGGGAGGGCTGGGAGAGAGGACGGAGGAGGAGACGGGAGAACGGACACAGGAGAAGGAGAACGACGACGAGACGTACAAAGGAGGGCAGTGTGGAGGTCAGTAACAGGGGACGAGTGACGAGCACGCGGAGGACAACGAGTGACCAAGTCGCGACGGACCGAAGGAGGAGGAGACTGGGGAGGAGGAGAAGACCAGACCGCCGGACGGTCGTCAGGAGGAGGCAACGGGGGAACAAACACAGGAGGAGACTGGGAGCGGACAGGAGGAGAGGAGGAAAAACCAAGGGCCCGCAGGCCACTCACAGGTGGGAACAACCGCCGCTCCAGAGGAAGCTGCGGTGGCGGCTGCGGCTGCGGCTGCTGCTGCTGCGGCGGGGGCTGCGGCTGCGGCTGCTGCTGCTGCGGCTGCTGCCGCGACTGCTGCTGCTGCTGCTGCTGCTGCTGCTCCAGAAGGTCCAGCACCCGCAGCTCCTGCCGCTCCCTCTCCAACCGCTCCTACTCCTCACGCTCACGCCGCCGGGCAGCCTGGAGTCGTGTGTCGTGGCGGTGGGGAGGCAGAGTGGACTCCGCAGAACCAGGGTCAGACTCCTCAGACTCAGCACCCCCAGAACCAGCACCTCCAGTGCCCGGACCTCCAACTCCAGCACCCCCAGAACTAGCACCGCCAGTGCCAGCACCTCCAGCTCCTGCACCCCCAGAACTAGCACCACCAGTGCCAGCACCTCCAGCTCCAGCACCCCCAGAGCTAGCGCCACCTGCGCCAGCACCTCCAGCTCCAGCACCCCCAGAGCTAGCGCCACCTGCGCCAGCACCTCCAGCTCCAGCACCCCGCGACCGAGTACCCCCAGACCGAGCACCGCCAGTGGCTGCACCTCCAGCTCCAACACCAACCGAGTCCACAGTAACCTGTCGCGGAAGTGCCGAAGGCTGCTGAGGGGACTGTGAGGAGTACTGCGGGGAGGGAGACGCTACCTGACGCGCGACCGAGGGTAGAGGGGTAACGTGGGACACACTAGACGGGGCAGGACCAGGGGGGGGCGGGGGTACCGGAGGAGCGGGAGCAGGAGGAGGAGAGGGTGCGAGGAAAAGAGGGGGAGGGGGTACCGGGAGACCTCGACAGGGGTACCGGGTGTAGTAGGACACGGACTCGTCAAACCGGACGTCACGGGAGTCTAGGAACTGGTGGAGGGGAGGGTGGTAAAAGGACCAGTCGGCAGAGTCCACTGGGAAACCAAGGAAGACACAGGGGACGTCGCGTGCCGAGAGCTTGTCCGCGGAGGTGTCGCGAACAAGTGCAAGGCAGCCCCAGACTCGAAAGGCCGACCCGACACCAGGGGAACCAGTCCAAAGACTGGTCGGTGAAACCTCGGGCCGCGAGACACGCGGCTGGAGGTTCAGCTGGTGTGCGGCGTAGCGAACCGCGTGGGGCCACAGAAAATGGGGCGCACGGGCATGGATCATGGACGTGCGGGCGATGTCCATGACCAAGCCTATGCGGCGCTCAGCAACCCCATTCTGCTGTGGGGACTCTGGCAGCGTCCAGGATTGGGTGATGCCCTGTTCGCCGCAGAATCCGCCGAGAATGCCGGAGCGAAACTCGCCACCAAGGTCGGAGTGGAGACAACTGACTCGACGACCACGAGTGCCCTCAGTGGCTAGAAGCCACCTGATCAGCGTAGCAGTCACCTCGGACTTCTTCGCAAGAGGGAACACTGTGGTGTACCTGGAGAAGTCGTCGACGACCACCAGAAAGTAACGCTCCCTCCCAGACCCCTGCGTCGGGGCAGGGCCCCAGACGTCCAAGTGGAGAGTCTCGAAGGGAGCGGTGGCCGGACGAAGGGAGGAGGAGTGGGGAGTGGCGCGTAAGCGACCGGCGACGCACGGAGAGCAAGGAGGGGCAGGCGAGAGAGGGAGCGACGGAAAGGTGCGTGGGAGACCTGAGACAAGTCCCTGACTGAGCATGCCACGTAGGCGAGGGAGCGACGGGTGGCCAAGGCGGTGGTGCCACAGGACGGTGCGGTGGGTGAGAGAGCGACAGGAGCAAGACGCAGCGACTGGACTGGACACAGCGACCGGACCGGACACTACTACCTGGCTAGACACAGCAACTGGACTGGGGACCTGGGCCGGAGGGGACGCAACGACCTGAGGGGAGGACGCGACCGGGGAGCGCTCGGTGTGGAGGACGTAGAGACCGGAGCGGGGCTCCCTGGTGAACGTGGCCAGAACAGCACCTGTGGTAGCGTCTGTACAGACTGCAGTCCGCCCACCCCCCACGAAGGTAACCGTGATCCCCCTGTCCTGGAGGTATCCAACACCCACCAAGTTCCGAGTGAACGAGGGGATGTGGAGGCCGCGCAGGACACCAGAGGGGACCACAGGGCACGGGAGGGTGGTGGAGCTACGCGCAACGGCTGGTCCAGAGGTAGGATCAGCGAGAGCCACCGACACAGGTGTGAGGAGTGGCGTAAGGGTCATGTGGTCGCGGAAGAAGCACTGAGACGCGCCCGAGTCCAGCGTGAACGACAGAGAGGCCTCAGCCGGGGGGTCACCAGACCCAGTCGCTACACAAGCACCTAGAGCAGCAACACAAGCACCTAAGCTAGACAGGCACAAGGCTACACTAGCAG